AAATACGCGCGCGACGATCAAAACCAAAAGAAGTCTACAGACTCGCTACAAAGTCGAAATTCAGATAGCAAAATTTTAACGACACGAAATGTTCAATACGTGCCACGCGCGCGGTTATCACTATTTCGAATCGTAATCGTCGACTATCACGCTAACACGCGCGCAGGCAATTTTTCTCGCACGCGCGAAACCGTGCGATGCAATTTACGATTAACGTAACATTTTTCGCGACGCGATCGCCGCGCGAATTCTCGACCGATCGTCTTCATCACCGTAACACGCGTTCGAGATAAGAGAGAAGCATTATATCTTCTTCGCGGACATCGGCGAGGCTGCTCTTTCGGTATAATTTTGTCATTAAATCCCGCTCCCCCTCGCTCTTTACACATCCATTCCTTCTCGTTGTATCACTTGCTGAAAAATCGATCTAATACATAGGGGTAATAATTTCGTATTATAAAAAGCTAATTTGTGATTCATGACTGAACAAAAAGATAATAAAGAAAATCTCTCTTTTTCTTCTTTCACGGTAACATACATAAAGTAGGTAAGAGATCATTATTTTGTTTTTAAACCGTTATAATGACAGATATATCATTTAATTACATCCACTATATCTGTTCTGAATTTTATATTTTTATGCATTCTAATGAACTGTACGCAAATTAAGTATACAACAGGGATCATTATATGCGCGCCAAAAATTTTTATTATTTTCAACGAAATTACTGCTCGATGTTCCAAATGTCTAATTTGAATTTTTCTCAAAGTGTTGTGTTAGATACTTCAAAACGTTGACAGATAAATTTTGCAAGAGCAAGCTTATTCTTTAACACACTGCTTGAAAGCTAAAGCTTAAGTCTCATTAGGTCTCTCGGTATAGATCCGCCGAGATCCGCCCCTGACAGGATAGAGACGAAAGACGAGAAGCCGGCCGGGCGGCAGGAGAAGAACGAGGACCGCGGATCCGGCGATGATAATGATTCCGACGATGATAGACGGCTCGTTATTACTATACGCGTTCGCGCGAGGTAGAGAGGGGGGGACAGGCGGCCGGCGTGTTCGTGTTTTAGAGCTGGGAGCGATTGGTCGACGCCATTACTCACACCGTTTGCGCCTGCCACATGGACCGATAGGTCTCTTCTCATCCGTACCTGTCCTTACCTTCTTCTTTCCTACCTCTCTTCCTCTCTCTCCACTTTTGCACTCACGCTTCTGTCCACTTCTCCTTTTAACCCCTTCGCCGTCTCTCCCTCTGGCTTCTCTCGCCTTCTTTCTCTCACATTTGCCTCCCCCTTTTCCTCCCCAGCCATATCTTCTTCCCCCTTCGACTTTTGCTCATTCTCATTCACTTTGTCCATCCTCTTCTATCGTCCTATACCCCCTTTTACCCCTCCGGTTCTGACTTTCAAGCGCGAGATCTGACGGCTGTATCGTACCTCCTTAGGGCGCGTATTTTATTTGGCGCGCCCTTCAATTACCTCGTACGCAATTCGAATGAAGAAGAACAATTGCTATATTAGATGCTCGCCGGGTGGGTGTGTTAATACATTTTACTCGTGACGCGCGATCGCAGCCGCTTGATTCAGCGATTTATTATTTTCTTCAAGGCATACGCGGAGAGATACAGGCTTGCCGTACCAATAGGCGCGTATATCGTTCTTTCGTTAAAAAAAAAAATCGCTTTGTCAAAGTAAAAAGTTTTTATCTATTTATACTCTGCCCAAAAGCACAAAAAGATTGTACAAAAAAAGCATAAATATATCGTAGCACGCAAGCAAGAAATAAATTACGATGCGCTTGAATCTGTCATCGCTGTAAATATCGTTTACGTAACTTTCTTCTGAGCGAAATAAAAAACCAAGAAATGGTCGAATTGTCGCCTGAGTTTTTCACCAAAAAATTACGTAGTCGCGAAACTTATTCTTCTCTCGACGAGATGCGGAAAAATTTGTCGCTAATCGCAACGATCCAGTTTGAAAAGAACTAACAGGTCAACTCTGTAGAAAAACAGAACGCGCGGTGATTGACAAGTTTGACCTCGATGTCGATATCGCACGTGCGACTGATAGACATCGATCGCGAGTGTCTTTCTTCACCTTATCGGCCGGTTCCATCGTCATCGCTGACATTTGTGAGGCATATGACATGATAGTCGGTTTGTGTGCGACATTATGAAGATGTCCCTGACGTATGAACAGCGAAACGACGACGATGACGACGACGACTATGGTGGTAGTGACGGCGCGGCGTCGAGACATTTACGAATATTTCTACCTTCGTCCATACCTTCGTGTATGCATATATACGTGAACGTAGTGCGGAATTGCGCGCGTATGCGTATATGACTTTACACGCATTATCTGATGGCACCGACATACGTCTTCGCTGTCAGCCGATCGTTAAGGGAACAATCAGATTCGGACATATCGGTCAGGCTGATGGTCCTCTCCTCGTCTTTCTTCCCTTATCTATTTTCTTCTCTTTCGTTATCTCCTTTGTCGCTTGCATACGAATGCTAAAATAATCGATATTTATCGTCATTCTTGACATCAACAGTATCATTGCGACATTTTTTGTGTCTTACTTACTACGGAAAAACGTCTAAGACAATGGATTATTACTTATTAGTAAAAAATTGTACGATCTATGAGACCATAGAATAGATTATGAAATTTATTTGTCGTCCCTGCACTAAATCTTTCTAGCTTGCTTTCGCTGAATTCCAAATATATGTCGCTCATTTAGTGCAACGATGACTCAAACATTGTCATTTTAATTGTATGTTCAAAAAGAATGAAAATACAAACAAAAAAAGGAAAATATAAAATATTAATTCTCTGGAAAATTTTGTTTTTTTAGTTATGTGTGTGTCATTATTATAACAAATAAACGATGTCTATTTTATAAGTATAAATATACACTAGTTTAACAATAAGGAACAAAATTTAATATTTTCTTACATTCCCCCTTACTCTTTTCTTCTGCCTCTTAATTCCAAAAATATATAAAATGTATTATAATCAGTGTCGCAATATCAATGTGATAAATGCAAAACGATACAGAGAAAACAGACGAAATTCGAGAGGAGGTCAATGATTAACTTCCAAGTCACAAATCTCGCAGATCGGCAAAATTTTCGGTTACACCCAATATGTCTCAATGATTCTAGGATTTGAGCAGGATTTCAATGATTTTCCGATACGATATTCGACGCGATCTCTGCATACGTATGTACAATAAAGGATATATATGAGCACTTATACATTCCCCAGATGATCTCTTGAGCAGCTGCTCTCTCTCTTTTTTATTACGTGACAATATTGCGAAGACTTCTTGCGGGCAATAATGCGCCTTAAGATCCGTGCCAGATGTCACCGTGGATAGCGGGTCATATACGAGACCGAAATCTCAAATATTAGCGCGAAATCGTAGATGGGGAAGCGCACATCTCTTACGCGGCAATATCACGCCGCTGATCGTCCGATATCATTTCTTCTTGCGCTCGCTCTTTCATCTCATGGATATTTGGCGACATGTGCGCGAAACGGCTTATAAAACTTCTCGCGAACGTCGCAGAGAGAAATCGTTCCAGCCGCGTTTTTCTTTCCGCGGACGCTTCAAAATCATGCTACATTTAATATTACGATATCTGCAAGATGTATTCCGATTCGAGATATTTGTGATTTTCAAATTTTGAAAGATATTTGTAAAGTAACCGAGAACACGTCAATCGAGTAACTTAGACCAAAACTGAACAAAGAAAAAAAAAACACTTACATATGATTATATGGTTCGAAGAATTTAATACTTTTTAAATTTTGGAATAAAGAAAAATGTCTTGAGCAGCTTTTAAACGATCAATATTATTACACAATTATTTTGTATAATATTATTGATATGCCTCTTTTAAACAATTTAAAGTAAACAATTTGAAGGCTCAATATAGACAATCAATAATAATATTGTGCAATATCAAATACTGTCCAATAATACTCATCTAAAAACCTTACTTCGAATAATGTAAAAATATGGAAATTTAAAACTATTAAGATAAAAATTTAAAATACGCTCAGTATTATTTAAAATTTTAAAATATACTTACATATTTTCAAATAAATATATTTATGTGCACTTCTAAATATACGTCCCCTCTTCTTGAATTACCTACTCATTACTGTGCCATATATGAAAAATTGAACGGCTTCCGAGACGTTTCAAGATATTTGTGCTGCCATCTCGTATCAATTTCTTATACTAATTCGTTAAAAGTTATACAATGCGAAAAAATCTTCATAAATTTCTTAAACATATATCATATTGGTTTAATTAATACTATAATTAAAATTATTGAATAGATTTAATTATATATCATGTGCTTATTATAATTTATTTTTCATCTTTTATTTCATATTCTTCTAGTTTAGGATTTACATATCTATTATGACTAAATTCAAAGAATCAGTTATCGACGGATGATGATTCTATATTATCTATCTTTGTTAATGAAAACGCGAGCATAGCATGGCAGACAGCGCACTGGTCCGTCCAGAGATCCCGGATTCGATCCCTAATAGGAACCAAAATATTTATGCTCGTGTCTCCTCTCCGGAAAGGCCAGTAACCTCTCGAGAGTATTCTTGTCCACAGAAACACTTTAAAAAATTCGCTTTTCAGAACCGGCATTAAAAACTGTAGGTCCCATATGCTTGTGACAATTTAATAAGCAGCGTGCGCACCATAAACATATGAAAGAGATATACTGATATAGAGCTTGCCCTAAACTAAGAATAAGGAGAATCGAAATATTCTAAGAATTTATTTAAAATTGTATTATCAAAATTGTCTACAAACAAAAATATAAAAAAATGGTAACGTTGAGTTAATATATCTTTCTAATATGTAATAATAAATAAAAAATATATAGTGATCTTAATGTATTTATCTCTTCTTTTACACGAATTTCATATATACATGCGAATTCAATTTTATAAGACAATTACAGAAGATTAACCAATATGACCAGTTTTCTCACAATATATTGTAGCTTGTTCTCTCAATTCAATGAAATAAAAAAAGAACGATGTTCTCTAATGATACATGTAATGAAATTACAATCTCGGAATAGTCAGTGCACATCCTATTTGTAAGCAGCTCTATCACATTGTCAATTCCTGAAATAAAAAATAAGTAAATGAATCATAAATTTACCGTTTGTCGAGCACAGTTTACTAACAAAAAAAACGAATCAGTCTGCCAAGATATATTCAACACAATTTTTATTCTGATAAAAATATATAAGCGAAACTCTTGAAAAACGGTCATCATGAGATTATGTAAAAATATTTAAACATATAAAGTACGTACTCATGTACACTGCAGTGAATTAATTCGCTGGATCATAATAGCTACTTGACGTAACGACGGTGAGTCGATAACGCTGAACGCGCACGCGCTCGAGAGAAATAAGAGGAGACATTGACAGTACATGACAATACATGAATTAAAATCTATGAATGATATATTAAAAATCTGTAAATAATTTAATAACATTTTTCGCAATGTAATTAAATTATTTACAGATTTTTAATGTCATTCATAGATTTTAATATGTCATTCAACATATTATTAAGATCCAAGATGCAATGTGCATCAAAATTGTTAGATTGTTAGTCAATTTAACTCGTGATAGTACTGTGATAGTTTATTAGTTTGCGTTGTAAGTCTGAAAAAAATTTCAGTGCGCATTTAGAGATCTACATACGTAGTATATAAATTCACACGAAGATTATATTAGAAGCTTTCAAGATCTAGCTTGACCGTTAATGGTTTATTCTTATCGGTATTTAGTTTGAAATTCTTATGGTTTATATAAGATTTGATATTGTTTTATTAGATATTTTTTTAATTATGTATAAAATTATAGATTCTTGTAGAAATTCATGAATTTCTCCATTATATAGATTTATCCTCTTTATGCCTATCTGTATAAAATTATGATTTATAATGTGCTATAAATTATATATTGTAAAGATCGGTGTATGTGTGTGTGTGTGTGTGTAAATTTTTCCACTTATCCATCGCATGCGCAACCAGATGTGCTTTAGTTCTCTCATACCTGAAATCTCACGAATTTGCAATTATTCCCAAAACGTTTTCTATTACACACACAAATTGAGATCCAGACATTTAGCAGATCAATCAAGAACTTCAATTTTTGGATATTGAGCGAACTATTCTTTTGCTATGCGTGCGGTATGGATTGCATTATTGTTTTGAACTAATTGAAATTAGTATGAAACTGTATATATATAAATATATATACATTGATCTTACAATATATAATTTATAGCATATTTTAATTAATAAACTTCAAGAATCTATCATTTTATACACAATTAAAAAAATATGTAATAAAATTCAACACAGTATTTTAGAAGTATTGTCAATGTTTCCTGTTATTTCAATCGTGCGTGCGTTCAGCATTATCGACTCAACGTCGGTAAATTAAGCAGCTACTATGACTCAGCGAATTAATGCACTGTAGTTTACATGAGTACATAAATATATATATATATATATGTATATTCAGAACTTACCATAATAGCATTGACGATGTCATTTTGATTATTTTTGAGAGCTTTAATAGCTTTCCCTCGTGATACATTAGCTTGACACATAACCAAATCAACATCTTTTTCTTCCACTCCTGTTTCATCAACCTCTTCTTCCGATTCTTCTTGTATAGGAGCAACAACCTAATATAAAAAAAATTAATATTGCATTTCCAACTAATGTATATATAATTACCTATAATTATAAAACATTTTACCGTAGTGCTGCCACCAGCTTCAGTTGCTGGTATAACTGGTGGTTCTTTGAATTTCTCTGCTGCTGCTACTTGAGCTTGTTGACTGAGATCTTCAATCTATAGAAAACATTAATATATAAATTACATATATTAAAAATATTTATTTATATAATATTAAATAATTGTAAAATATCAGTCTGCCAAGGTATTTTTCAACAATTAATTTCTGATAGTTTGCGAAATCTCAGTAATCATCATAAAATAAGAAATTCAATAAGTATATTATTAAGCAGTCATAGTTAGTTTCCTACCTTAGCTTCACCAAATACTATATAAGTATCTGAAGCTGGATTCTTTAAAACGTCTGGTTTGTTTATAACAAACAGAATATTCTTTGATTTACGAATGGTTACTCTGTTGACTCCTTGAACCTGTGAACGTAAAAAGTAATATAATATTGTTTTGGATATAAAATAATTTTCGAAAGATGTAGCTCATCATATAGAAACAATATGTATAATAAATTCAATTGATAAATTCAAATTTGATCCTTTTCAATATGTTTCAATTTATAAAACATTCACTAAAAAGTTAAAAGTTTTAAAAGAATATGATATGTTTCAGAGATAATAAATTTATTAGAATAGAAAAGAAATTATTAGAATATTAAAATACTTAATTACAGGCTTCAATCCTAATTTGCTCATGAGCTTCCTAGCTTTCTTTTCTCCACGGCTTTGCTTGGCCTTGGACACCATATCAATGGGAAGTCCAGTGACCGTTGTGCCAGGAAAACCAACGGTACCCGGAGTGCCAGCATCTTCTAATTCCGGTATAGTATCGTCCGAATCAGAATCAGTCGCAGAACCGATGCCTACCAACTCTACCTTTGTAGGCTCCGAGCTCGCAGCCTTGTCAAGCTCCGTCAATTCTGGCATATTTACTGAACTGCAAAAAAAAAAATATTATATACAAATTTTTGTTCTCCATATAAAGAAGCAAAATCTTTATAGAAAAGCATGTAAAAATGAAACATTAAAAGCTACCACGTGCTAAATTCGATAGAGCATGACCCCACTTAAGGCGTATTTAATAAATTGTTAGTAATTTTCAGTAAAATAGTCAGATTTGTAAGAGATACGGAAGTGAGATAAGTATATCTTCGATGTTAAGTACGCGATGACAAGTCAATCATAATATCAACGAACGATCAGCGATCGGCGATCATTGGCGCGAAATCTCGAGTCCCACACAAATATTATCGTACATATATGGACATTATGGCGTCCACCAAAAAAGCTAGAGAAAGTTCACTAAGGGCGATTTATTTTGATTATTTGTGACTTTTACCTAATGTCGCGACTCAGTACGGTGTATGGTAACGTGGTTAACGTCTCGTCACTGTTAAATCGTAATTGGAACGTTTAGTCATGAAGTTTTACGTCATTGTACGTGGACACATAGGAAATTATCGTCGAAAACAAGCTTCCACTGGCTGCAAGATTGGAAACCACCAATCTCATATTAAAATCATTGACGATAAGACATATCACGCGATACTATTAACACAAGTATCAAGGATAACACCCGATCTTGTGGTATATGTTCGTCTCTTGACGAATTACTCGATGATGCCGACAAAATCGTTAGATTTACCTTGAATAGTAATCCGCCGTTGGATGAACGCAAATGAACGGGCACTATTTTCACGTAGAGAAATTGAAGCCTATAAATTAAGGCCGATTTACATGCTTATGGAGTTATGTATCACGAACGTAGGAAATATCTAGACGGAGTACAATCAGAAAGAAGCCGTAATGTCAGCCAGCTGCACACCAGCGCGATGTTCGTCGCGCGTGACACGCGATATCCAATGAGCGTCTAGCTTTAGAATGAGAACATTGGTGCTGTATGCTTATTGGATATCAAGCTGGTGTGCAGCTGGCATAAGGATGCTGTCCCATGATACGGAAATTACACTGTTCCGCAATGGATTAAGAAAAGTATTAAGAATGGCGTCGTTTGCAGACGAAATATGAAATCCACCAATCGTCTATTAGTCAGCCATTTTTAATACCACTGAATGAATATCATGATTGGCTGACAGTCAGCTAATCAGGACGCGGAACATTGGTTGCGCTTCTCTGATATCTAGGACTCTAGCATAAGGATGCTGTCCTATGATACGGAAATTACACTGTTCCGCAATGGAACAGTGATCTAGTTTCCACCGAAGCATTAATTCGCACCTAATGCAACGTAGAACCAAATTTAACTCGATGGAAATACGTTTGACTCTGCTCATTTCACTTCCACTTCGATCCACAACTTCAACCAGAGTGGCAGCGAATTGACATTTAAACTTTAGTCGATGGAAACGACTGAAATAGATTAAAAGTAAATATCGCCAACCTTTCCATTATTCGTTAAAAGGTTAAAAGATAAGCCGTTCAAAAATGGATAATAAGCGTGATTTTGGTCATACAATGAAACTTTAACATTAATTCACATTAATTCTACTTCCAATGAAAACAGTACACCAAGTTTGATCTATACCGTAGTGCAATCGAACTGAGGGTTTCGGTGGAAACTAGGTCAGTGAGACCAATCAGATCCCTGCAATCATTAAGCGGGGAGCACAGACTTTTGCATAACGCATAAACCATATACATAAAGAATTTGATTGGTCCATTGACTCATGTATAAGAAAATGGGCCAATGAAATTCCTTATGCACATGCTTTATGCGTTATGCAAAAGTCTGTGCTCCCCGCTTTATTGGTCCAACAGTTTCATGTTATGCTCATGCTCTATTATGCATTTTATGTGCGATAGACTTAAGCCTTAAGCCATAAAAAATGGACGAATCATAGTCAATTATTTTCTTCGAATTCAATCATAATTGGTTGATTTCTTACGGCTAAAGGCTTAAAACATGTATTGTAGATCCGTGATAAGGCCACAGTATGTACAACATACACACGTTTGCATGATGCATAACGCATAAAGGTGGCTTTTCATGCTGACGCTCAACGCTCATTTTCAGCGTCGAAACAGATCACGTAATAAAAATTGACGAATAACAAGTTAATATGACGCTTGCTTATTCATTTAATTTCTTTAATTTTTTCTTCAGATTATTTTGACGTATCTTACCTGTGTCGAACTATGGTATGCATTTTCCGATCAGATTAGGAACTATATATGAGTTCCAAATCGGATCTCTCCTATTTTTATAGACTTTTAGATAGAATTTTAAAATATTTTAATTAATTTTTGTTAATTGAGTAAAAACGAGCAATTTTTTTAAGATAAAAATACAGTTTATCCCTCGTAAAAAAGTATACTACTAGTGTCACTGTTGGTACGAGTAGTAATCAGTAGTAACACTGCTCGTGACTAGTATAGTATAGAAGTGCAATATTAAATTTACTACTAGTGGCACTAATAGTGTGTATCACTACTAGGAGTAGTGCAATCTACAGTAATCGCATTCCCGCACTTGTGGAAATTATTTTAATACAAATTTGAATTAAAAAATCGGTTTTAATCAATTATTTTAATCATTTCGTATTTTTAATCAAAATTTTTTTATATCTTATTTTTTTTTTGTGCGAATTTACTTCTGCATATTGCACTAATAGTGACACTAGTAGTACTTTTTTACGAGGGATATATTATTAGAATTAAAATCAATAAAATAAATTTCATCAATCTGTGTCTGATATTTGTTTGATATTTATATTTGGCTAAATGAAACTTTAGCGTCGCTATAAGTCAGCGTTCATTGATTTAATGTTCCTTAGATCTGGTCGGTTGATCAACAGTATTACAATCAGGTCGTGGCAAACCTTCTTTCTTCGATGAATTAGCTGGCTTACTTTTGTCTTTTTAGTATTTTTTGTATAGGTCTGATTTGGATACTGGTTCTTTCGAATAATTGGAACAAATTTTACAATAAACCGCAAAAGTAATTACAAAACTCTTGATGTTTTTGAATTCTACACTCTTTAATTATCTCTCTTATATCAATTACCGTTTAAATTTTTAACATCTTTTAAATAATAATTTACAAGAATTTTCTTTTTTAAAAAAATTTTTGCATATTTATGTCTATTCTATGAACGTCATAACACAATACTGCCAAACTGCTGTCACATGTTCGGTGTCTTATAAGGGGATTTTACATTATAAATAGTACATTATAAATGTGCTTAATTGTATTTATTTAAATTAAAAAGGTTCGATTTGGGACACAATCCGATTTAGGACATTCTCCTCTATATATCTAGAAAATAAGCTCTTCTATTAAATATCGTACCGTCGGAATATCGTACTGTCGTACGCAGTGTGAATCCTACATTACCGTAACACAGACAGATTTTTAAGTTGTAGACGTATAAAGCAACGCACAACGCACAAGCTAGCTTTGGCGTATGACGTTGGAATTAATGGACATCGCTATATCGATTTCTTGATAGCGTGCTACCACGTGCTACATATAGGGTAAACCCGGTATATACGTCGCATCTATCGAAAACTTAATTTATCAATTGTTATTTACTATGTTTAAAGCAAATTAATTATACAAATAAAAACTTTGTTTCATCTACTACTGCAAAAAAAATATTAGAAATCCAAAATAATTTATTTTCCATATTATAAAGTAACTTTTTCAAACTCCTGCATTTTTGCCATTTATCCCATAGGGGGGGGAGGGGATAATATGGCCACTCATATATAATTCATAAGAAAATCACAAATAATCTATAAATAAGATGTAAAATGACGACTTGCATTGTTTATTAATATATGACAATTTTTATTGTTCAGAATGAAAATTGGAATACAAATAGGACTTAATACAATTTTTTTAAATAGCTTCAAATCTTTGAAAATAATCTTTAAACGTTTAAGATTTATCAACATTTATGCATTAATGCAAAATATAATTGTTAGAATTAACAAAAACTTCTTAAATAGAGCGTCTGTGCTACGGCACAGCATCCCGCTCGCTAAAAATGCCGTATATCCCAAATAGATGGGATATACATATATGACAACTATAATTAAACAAACAATACAGGAGCAAAGCACTTGTATTTTGCTATACAACATGCTTTACTATTCCTTTACACATATGTATTGCAAAATTTCCACCAATGCAGATTAACTTTAATCTCGCAAATTTTCAATTTGCTCTTCGTCTTTTTCTAATTCTAAAAATTAGAAAAAGATTAACAGTAAGTTAAACCGAGATTAAACTTAATCTGCATTTTGGTAGAAACAGGCATAAGTCTTTTACACGCTCTATAATAATCATTTTATGTAGATTATAAATTATGATGGCACTACTTATTACAGTAAAAAATCGATTTAACTCGCAATAATTTCATTAACAGTAAAAAACTGAAATTATAACATAATACTAATATACCATAAAGGCATGTAACAAAGTAATTGATGGAAAATGATCCCCACTCCTTCTATTTTTTCTGACTTCTGAGGCGTATTTCCTGACGTGGCGTATATGCCGGGTTTACCCTAAGCAAAACTAAGTAATCTAATCGTTTGTAAGCAAGTCAAAAATAATTTTGTTAATTGTCCTGAAAGCCTTGTCTTAGGCTGCGGTCCACTCGTTACTCGAGCATCGTGCGGCATTTGATCTGCGCGCAGGCGGTAAGGTGAGGGGGACAGCGGAAGGCGGAGGCGATTCGAAAATCGGCCGAAAGTTGCATACACTTTATGTATGTTCGCTTTGTACTGGCACCTTTATTAATAATATATCAATTACTTTTCATGGTAATATATTATTATTAGATAAAAAGGTTTAAATTTTTGAGTATTCTTTTTTGAACATGTATATATTTATATATTTTATCAAACGCGAGAACATTCTTAATTAATAAGTATTGTATTCGATTACACTCTACATACATAAAATATAAACAAATAAATAAAATTATAATAGCTCAGTTGAAATAAATCAAAGAATAAGCGATACCTTTCTAAACCGATCAGTATTGATGTGTAATGCTAAATCTATTGTATAAATGACAATTCAAAAAAATTATTTTTTTTGGCAATATATAAGATAATTTGCAGTTATCATTGATAATTTATTGATTGTCTCTTTAATGATAATCAAATTCGGATAATAACGTTAAAATCAGTTTTTAATAAAAATCGAGTATTATTAAGTTTTAAATATATACATGTCTACGAAACTTATATAAATATTATTAAATTAATATACCATATTATCAGTTTACTATTCCTAATGACTTAAATTTTAATAGTTACGCAAACTTCTATAATGCAGATCGTCTTATCTCGTGAAATAGAATGCACCATCATTTATAATCTTATATGTTATCAAGTACTTTCAAAACAATATAACAGAAATTCGAATTAACCTATTGCTAATAACTTCTATATACTAAAAATAACATTAAAAATTAAGGAGAAGAGAAGTTGTATTCTCATCAGCCATGGAATAAATCATTACATTCCACTTTACTCCAGGTTACAACGTCACTACATAAAATAGCACGCTCCTACGACTGGCACAATTATCGAACTGCTAGTATGCTCTAAGTTTAACGTTAATTAAAATTCAAAACTGATATT